CAGCCCCGCCCCCGCCCGCCTAGGAGCGGAGCGTAAGTCAGGCCGCGCCTCTAGTTCTGCTAGCCTCTGTGGAGCTAGGTCTGGTATCAGAGACTAGGCCCTGCCAAACGGCGCCGTATGACGATATGGATCAGCCCACCCCCCCGACCTTTAAGGGGAGTGAGAAGGAATTGGTAAGGGGTGTTCGCGCCCGGTTCGAGGCCCGACATTGAAATTCTGTGTCTGGTATCCGGTGCGTAGAAAGTAGTGGTCTGCATCTGCAAAAATTCTGCTGTCGAGTGTGTGGAACGTAGGATGCTGGAGTAGCAAAAATTCCGATGTTCCGAAACGGCACACGTGAAAACTGAAGCTTTTTTTTTTTTCGTCGTTGCGTGTCGTCAGCAATGACGCACTGAGTATGCGAATACAATCGTTTCATCAGGTATGAGAAATTGCGGATTAACATAATCGAAAATTTTCTATTTTCAGTTCAAAACAAGACTGTTTAGTTGTTTTTGTTTTTTCCCTAGACTTCCTTAGTATCTAACAAAACCATTGATACCTCTCACAAGGACCGAGCCTGCATAGTTTTCTATAAATTTCTGCGTGCATTCGAAATTAGTAATTAAATTTTTTTCAAATTTCCGGAGTTGCTCGGTATCTAACGAAATGAGCAACTCTCTTATGGTCAGAGGCTGCTTAATTTTCCGCCAATGTTTGCGTCTCTTCGAAAATAGTAATAAACCTCCCGCGACGAAATGGAGCGCGCTCTCGGCGTTGGAGAGGGGAGGGGGAGGGTCGTGCCCCGTGGGCGCGCGGCCTTCGCCCTGCGACCTCGCGGCGAGTACTCGACGTCCCGTTACGCCGAGGCCTCCCCTCCGCGCCCCGCGGCCCCAAAGGCCGCACGGCCTGTCCGTTGAACGGCAGGCCTTCGGAACTGTTTATTTCCCGTGAAGGCGGGCGCGCCCTCCGGTTTGCCCGCGAGGTGTAGCGGGCTTCTTCGCTTGCCCGTCGCAGCGGTGACTTCGACAACCGGCTCAGCGCATCAACTGATTTCACTGCCTATCATCGCATCAACTGCCTCTGAACGGGAGGTCCTAGGTTCCCGGTGGTGGCAGGATATTCGACATTAGGTACATACAGGTCGAATCCAGCCGCTGCGCTGTCGGGGAATTGTAGCGGCCCGCTGCTCTGAACGGTTGTTTTCAAACTGGTCACGGATCCGCGCGATTTTTTTCTTTCCCTTCCTTGTCTTATCCTGATCTCTTACTTACACACCCTCACGCTCACATGCCGCTGCCACTACCACACTTGCCGGGAGTCGGGAGCTCCGCGTTCGTCCCGGTTGGGGCGTTGCTGCGCTGGCGGGAGTCACCTGGTGGGGGGGATTTCACCATCCAGCGGGGAAAGATCACCGCCACAGTCCGCTACAAAACTACACTTACGGGACGAAGAAGCCGAAAGGAAAACTGTTGTGAACAGCTTCAGTTCTAATTGCCCCGGGGCCCAATTCCACTTTTCTGTTCGTAAGACTTAATTTATTTGTTTGAAATAAATCAACGGGTTTTAATAATAGTTCGGAGGCAGATAATCTGAAAAGTTTGTATTCGATTGAAACTGGATTTAGATGCTGATCCCCAAATTCGACAATTGCAAGAAAGAATAGCCTGAATCACAGTCATATGTATGGGTAATTGACTAGTAATGCTAAGTTAAGAGAGTATTTAACAAGATCAAGTGGATTATGCTTTTTTTATTTATTGAGGAAATTCTATCGATGGTATTTCGACATTGAAGCCTCTTGCGCATTATAACTCCCAATTGATTCGGTTTATAAAAACCATTTTATTTATTATTTCTGTTATGCAAGAGAAGGCGGATCATTGAATTTACGCAATGAAAAAAGTGCGTCGTATTTCGATGCTACTTTTTCGCTCATATATCTAGTAGATGTAACTGATTTTGAAGGAAAGAAATTGCAGTTTCAAGATTTCTATCAAAACTGTATAATGCAGAGTCTGCAAATAATATTACCGGTCTGTCATTATTTTGTTGACGGAAAATCTGAAGTGAATAAATTGAAGAGGTCAGGAGAAACTACAGTCCCCTGAGACACCCCACAAAGAAATTTTTTTGGAAATCTTCAATATATTCACGGTTGAATAAGTATTTTTTGTGAATCAAACCTTTTCCATCCCGTAAATACACTACATTTCAGTTCCAAAATCGATGAAAATGATTTTATTATTCCTGTTTCATCCAGTGAAAAAATCCCTTGAGCTGAATTTTCGCTGAAAACCTCGTCTTGAGCGTTTTAAAAAGGGGTAAATACGTTTAATCGACGTCAATTGTGCGTCTAAAATACAGACGTGTTAAATTATTAGATTACATCATATATTTTCCTAAAGTTTTCACGTTATAATTGAGAAGAAACATGTAAAGTGTGATGTCGTGAAAGGTTCCTGACAGATTTTTACATGTCGAAGGGAGCGAATCCAATACATAAAATCCTTGAAAAGCGCACTCTCCAAATAGAGTGGTTCCTATGAAGATGTAATTTTTATGCACGATGAATCACGGTGACACAAAGACAAAAGTGTCTCAAGAATTCGAAGAAAATCAAATTAAGTGTTACTATGGCACGGAAAAGCACTGACTTGTACCCCATAGAAAATGGGTGGGGTATTACTAAGAGAAGAATAATATACAAGAAGTATACAAGAAATATACAAGAAGTCGTGGACCAACTAGAGGAGGTTCGGTACCGCGTCGATGAAATTAAAATTTCAGGTGAAAAATTATACCAAACAGGATAAAGTTGTTCAGTAATACGTCTAATACGGAAAAAAATCTGGTCCCTTGAGTATCCATTGAGCAAGTTTCACTATATTATTAACATAAAATTTCGCAAAAATTGTTTATGTACACATTATTTACCTATTTTCGTTTACCCTGTTCCTTAAAATACCTATCTATCATTTCGTTTTAGACTATAGAAACATGTAAAAATATAACTTTATTAACTATAAAATAATGCACTTATTTGCACTCCACCTTTGAGGTACAATGCAAGAATGCATGTTTTTATCGATGGGCCTAAGCCCATGTCGCACATTTGTAGAAACAAATATAGTGTACAGTTGGATTTATTCAGAGCTGCCTTTAAAGTAAATCAGCTGTTGACAGTTTCATCCAATCGGGAGCCTAAACATCACCATAGTGACGTCACTGTAGTGACATGTAAGCTCCCGATGGGATGAGACCATCAATAGCTCATTTACTTCAAACGCAGCTCTAAATAATTCCTATACTAAAGATTTCGCTTCGGTTTTACCTTGCCTTTCTTTCTTGATCAATATTTAAGTAGTATTTACTCTTCAATTGGACCATCAAGTATTCTCGAAAGAACATTCTAAACCTAGATGAATGTTCGGGGCTCAGTGAGGACTATTGGGTACGGAATAGTTATTCCATACTGGAATAGCGCGAGCACGCAGGCGTAGGAGAGAAAAAAAATAAAGACACGGGTAAGAAGTGAAAATGCAATGCTTTATTGCAAGGGACTCGCATTCACTGGCGCACGCACACACATTCACACACATTCATTCCTTGGCGTCGTGGGTCGTGTCGTGGCTTAGTTGATCTGGTAGGAGACGGCGTGGCCGGGGGTGTTGACTACGGTGGTGAGCGTGCCGACGCGAGCGACGGGGGCGCCGGAGACGTAGGCGGGGACGGGGCTGGCGTAGGCGGAGCTGACGTAGGCCGGGCTGGCGTAGGCGGAGCTGACGTAGGCGGGGCTGGCGTAGGCGACGGGCAGCACGGCGGCCACGTCGCGCTTGGAGCGCGCGCGCACGGCGGCCACCTCGGCGAGGTGCGCGGCGCGGGCGGCGGCCACCTGCAACATCACGTGGTCCATATGCAGCAGGTAACGGACGATGTTCAAGTTTGTGAACTGGCGCCTTTCCCAAGACTTACCACTAGGGGGGAGGGGGATTTGTATGCAAATGTATTCCCCCCCCCTCTTTTCACTTTAGAACAACGGCTTTTAGAATAGACATTCATTTTGCTCTATGACAAAAGGAAATGATCCATTTTTATGTCTTTGTAATTTTTTTGTCGATTTCAACTAATTAGTCATTTTTTATCTTTTCCCCTTCATTTTAAAGCATTTTTTGCTGTATTCTTTTTAATATAATTATAATGGTAACTGCTTCAAGTAAAATTTACGAGTTGCCACAAATGTTCTCCACAGAATTCCACAGTAGCATATTCGAGTTCTTTGCTCAAATATTGTAATGCGAGTCGTTGAGTATGTAATCTATGGTTCCTGTGACGCCAACAGCGCCATTGTCGTTTCGGACTATTTCACGATAGCTAAAGACATATGTTTCTAAGTCATGCCATAGCGAATGCATGCAACTACTTGAGAGAAAACGTTTTAACAATAGGCTACTTGACGACCACGTTCAAATCAGGACATAGAACAAACTCAAACTCGCGAGAAAGTCTTTCGTCTATGTTCGCAGAGCGTAGTCTAAAACGTGATTAACAATTACTAGACCAAAAGTGTAACACATTACAATAGCGAAGCATTGCCGGGTCTACTAGAACGAAGTAATGTTCTCGTGAAGGGAGCGGTGCTTACCTCAGGGGTGTCGCGCACCTGCTGCGGCAGCGCGCGGGCGGCTTGGACGAGGGCGGGGGCGGGGGCGCCGGGGACGACCGGGGCGACGGGCAGGGCGTTGCTGGCCACGCGGTAGCCGGCGGCGTCGGCCACGTAGTCGGTGCGCACCACCTGGCCGTCAGGAGCCACGTAGCTGAAGCTGCCCACCTTGTTGCCGGCGGCGTCCTGCAACTCAATGCACACGCGCCGGAGAAATTCTAGGGGGGTCTGATGACAGTTTCTTTTAAAAACAGTTTTAAAACATATTTTTGTAGTCAGCCATCAGTAAAAGCTGTTCTCTCAAGGCTCGCATATCGTGCTAAAAATTCAATTTTTAGCATTAGTGCTAAATGTAAGACGGTACTCAAATGTACAGATAAATCTGTGAACGCAACAAAGAATTTAAAATACTATCGTCTGACCGCATCAGCTACTTCTGACGTTAAACTAACACGAGATTATTTGTAAGGTTGGATTAAAATAAAATGAAACTTAGTAAGGGTATATAAAAAGTTATGATACGCTGTAAAAGTGGCGTTTAATTTTGCGAGTAGGAAATAAAGCACAAGGTCGGTAAGCAGAGTGGTGCCTTTCTACGTGTAAAATTGAACGCCATTTTTACCGATCGTATCTTAATAAACTATTATTACCGTTACTAGGTAGTAAGTATACAATGTTGTAAAACAGTCCACCACACCGTATTTCACCTACACTTGCTTCACATACGTTTGTGCCTGTCTTCTACGGTAATAATGAACTGCGACACTTTCTAAATTTTCGATCCTTTCACACGTACTCCGTACATCACTTCTTTCACATGCCGCTTTTTCTACAATTAACAGTTAAGTCGTACGGTAAGTCATGAAAGAAATATAAACCTCTTAATTTCTCCTGTGATCGTTATCTGAAATTTCTGGAAATTATCCCATTTTTTGCCTCCTTTTCAGGGCGGGGAATTGAGAACCACGACCCATAGGAATTTTACAGAATCATTTTTTGTAACTTATCAAAACCAATTTTTTATTTCTTGATTTGAGTACGTACTTTTGCTTCTGAAAATAGATCATAGGTTTTCAGGATAATTGAATTTCCTTTATTTATTCGCCTTTAACTCGGAAAATCAAATGGAAGTTCCGATAATGTTTCAGAACAGCTGTACTACAAATTAATGATAATTTCTACAAAATTATAACGGAAGTAATATATCTTTTCTATCATGCAATAGGAACTATTCTAGAACAAACGCAGGTGCGATGCGTTGCTGTGCGGTACAAACATCAAAGTACTCCTTACACAGTGGACGGCAGTGAATGATTCTATAAAGCGTTTGATGAGTGATGTTATAGATAAAGTGGTGTACGCGCTTTCACATCCATCAGACTATATCCAAATTCTGGGCAACAAAAGCTCTTGACTTGCTGTGTATGTTGCTTGTGGGGTTCTCGTGTATCACATTGGTGTAAATGTGAACGCTTTTGGAATTTAACTTTTATTTATTATGTTTGTGTTAACGTTGCATTTACTTTCGCTTTTCGAATGGTTTCGTAGATTATTCTGGCAGCAAAATTTAGAAGCCGCGTTAACGGATTGGCGCAGGCGTCCCGTAATGCGGGAGCGTGCGAAGGGTTGCCTACCCTGAGACGGCAGGCGTTCAACGGACCCTCGTCTTCGATCGCCTTCTCCTTTCGCAGGTGTAAGGTATTATGCGTGCACGTTTTCTTGAACCTTCAACTCCCTACTTCTCGCTCAGCCCGGCACAGCACGGCCCGGTAGAAAATATAAGTTCCACTCGGAACGTTACGGCGTAATAGGTATAATAACTTAATTCCACTTGATATTCACTGATATTGATGAAACTATTTAGTTATTCCGTTAGCGGTAAACAACTTCAAATATGTTAAGGAATACTTTTGAATGTAATACTTTTTACATCGTAAAGTTAATGATTTAACATTGGTATTACAAACTAATTACTAACAAATAAGTTATTTAAAAACAGATTTTCGAGTAATATCTGATATATGTTATTGGAAGTATATAGAGCTAAATCTTTGAACGAAGTACATTGAAATAAATGCTGCCTTTTTCTTATCTCAGCATTCAGCAATTGCTATCTTGTGAATACTTATTTGCAGTGCTACCCACCGTCTTTTTACGATGCGGACTTCTCGTTTTCGCTCTATCTACTGACCTGCGTTCAGTGTTCCTTCTTGTTACTCAATAATTTGAAATGATTATTTCTATAGCTAGTATTTGTTTCTTCAGAATTTAAAAAAATGTGTTTTTTCTCCATTGTTATTTAGTCTAAGACGCGCTATTACGCTGAATTTTCTGCCGACGATGTTGACACCACTGCTCTGCTGTGACGTAGACAACCCGCATCGCCCCACACCTCTGGTGTGAAGTGCCAAGAAAAAGTGCGCGATTAATAGTATTGTGCGAGTTAAATCGATCACCGTGATGTATCCCCAAAAATAATTTCAATGAAAGTGAAATCTCTCTTCAAAATGTTACGAAAAACGTTGGCCGTGACCGGCCTAATTTTTTTTAATAAAATAAGTTTAGATTAGTGCAGGCTCTTATGGAAAAACTTTCGAGGCATAGTCTTTTTTAAGTTATTGAAGAAGTTGTTCGCTGAAAGTTCCCTTTTCTTGTATTCAGAACGTAGAACATTTTTTGAGAAATCGGATGATATTAATTGTAACGTACTTCACCGGACATTCTGATGAGTTATTGATAAAAACTACTGCGAAATTCATCGCAACTGGATGTACTAACTCTTGGTCTAAAAGTTAAGCAGTACAAATCTTGCTATTGTCAGCACTGTGTATCTTGGGGTACGAGAGAAAACCGCCCTAACTTAAAGTTTTGTACCGCACACAACCAGAAACTATTTGACAATAATGCACTTTCAATGTGAACAGTCTTGGCTAATGTTCAACGCAGAGAGAACAAAAAGTACGGGAGCCGAATTCAATTTAACCTATAATAGGAATTGCCAACTTATGAATTTGAAAAATCATACGAGAGACTAAATTTGTTTGTAAAAGTTTTTCTAGCGCAACTACTCAATACTTTTTAAAAACCTATTGATAAATAATAATTTAAATAGTCCATTCACGTTTACGAAGCAACTATTAATCTACAGAGTGGTGGAATGAATGGCTGAGTGATAAGCGATGAGCGACTGGCACGAACATGCCGCCTTAAGTCAACGGAGGTGAGCTCGGCGACGTTCATTTTAAACTTTTTCTGACCATTAGACGACGGTCAGGTGTTCTAACGATCTATGATTGCATCTAGTGGTTATTTAAAATACTAATAATACAGAAACTTATGCAAACATGATTGTGTATCTAATGTGAGATATCAGGAAAAAAGAGAGTGGTACGCCAATCCTAGGCCTACACCGCATATACTTTTTCTTAGGTAACTCTTTAATTATTATTTTGTAAAATAAATACTTCAGCACTGCGCTTTTGCACGTTAATCCTGCCCTTTACGTTAATGTTTATTGCAGCAAAATGAACCGTTCCGAAGTACAAAATGGTCAGTAGTTGATAGATCCTTCACCTACATAAAATTGTAGATGTTGAATTCCACTTTATATAACTTTTCCTGTTTTGAAACTATTTCACCATATTCAGGACGAATTTACTGCCACCGATCTCTGACGTGCCCGTCCGTGAGCAGAATACTTGAATGGCGAAGGTCTCTTGAGCGTGTTGATGTTGGAAACTTTGGATGTCAAGTGCCCAACTGTACAAGTGGCACAACGGCGCGGGCGCGGGCGCCGGCTTTAGCTCTTAAGAGATAAGGGAAGGAAGGAAGTGGTACTGACCTGCACTGCGTTGTGCGCCTGCAGGGGCTCGGCGTGGCCGTAGGCGGCGCGACCCAGCCCGTCCTGCGAGTGGTACTGCGCGTGCACGCCGGCGACGGGCACGGCCACTGCGCGGGCGGGGGCGGGGGCGACGTAGTAGGCGGAGTACGGGGCGCCGCCCACGGGCACCACGCTCGAGTAGCCCACGATGGCCGGCGACGCCGCGGCGCACGCCACCAAGCTCAGAGCCAACTGCAAAGGGAACACATACTGCGTCACTGTGGGGCTCTGGCCTCGCGGCCGTGTACTCGCCGTGCTGCTGCACTCTTTTCGAATCACACGAGACGAGGGATGCGACCGATCCAGCTGTAACACCGACTGCGAGACTTTAGCGTCAACATTGTTGCGGTCCCTCATCGGGCCTCGGAAACCTGGTTGTGAATCACTTCTTTATAAACGACAGGAATAGACATGCACTATCATAGCAGACTTGTATTGTTAAGTATGAATAAGTTATTTTTGCTTAAACTGTAAATGACTACGGAGAAAATTGTAAAAAAGTCCCTAATCTCGACACGTAGTGTATAAGGCAATACAAAGTAGTGTATTCACTTCTGTCATTTCAAATAATTAAACTGTAACCAAAACTTCACTTTAGTCTCCTCTTTCAGATCTAAAATATGTTAACAGTTATTTGAATTTACACTCTTTTCATTACTACGTGACTATTAATAACAAATTAATTACTAAATGCGTTTATGAATTTGCTTTTATTATCGAAATCAGTCGCTGTCTGGAGAATTCTCGCAGCCGGCTGCTCTAGTAGTAGCCGGTAGTTTTCCGTATATTTTCCGATCAACACCAGGGGAATGCCGGAGCAGTACTCTAACAAACGGGCCACGGACCGCGCGCGATATTTCCTTTCCCTTCCTTGTCCTTTCCTCACCCCCTTACTTACACGTACATGCGTTACACCATCAAACATGTCAGGTGCTTAGAAGTTGTCCCGGCAGGGGCGGTGTCGCACCGATGAGTGGCACCTGGTTGGGGAAAAGCCCCTGAGCCGACGGTAGGTCGGCGCCGTATCTCGCCATTCAGTGAGTAAAGATCACCGCCACCTCCCGATATAAAAACGCATTACTTTACGGAATTAACGACCTCAGCCGTTGACGCACCCGGAATCACTAATCATTAAATAAGTAAATAATTTCAAATGAATGTAAAAGACCTCGATGAGATCGAATATTATTAAATTTAAGGAAGTGATAAAGTCGAATTCTGTGCATTCGTAGGCTGCCAGAGAAAAATTGGGAGCATTGTTAAGCTAATTGATAAATGCTGAACTGACATTAAACAATAGGTTCATTCCACTTGATATACGCTGATATTGATGAAAATATTTGTCTCCATAAGCAATAAACAACTTCAAATATGTTAAGTAATACTTTTTACATACCAACGTTAACGATTTAACATTGGTATTACATACGAATAAGTTATTACAAACATAAACGGATTTTCGAATAATGCTGATATGTGATTAGAGGATTATAGAGCTAAATCGTCGAAGAAAGTACATTGAAATAAATGCTCCGTTTTTCATCTCAGCATTCAGCAATTGCCATGTAGTGAGTACTTATTTGCGACCGAGGCAAGAGCTGCGAATTTCGGTTAGAAGAGAAGTGTCGGTGCGCCGTGGTGGTCGAGCGAGCGCGGGCGGGCGGGCGGCACTCACCAAAAGCTGCATGTCGAGGATGAGGCTGTGTCTGTCTTCGAGAGGACGATGAGGCGAGGAAGCGCTCCCGCGCCTTTATACTCGCCCCCCTGAGGACACGCCCTGTCCTCAAGGCCGCCCGCTGCCCCCGCCCGCCCCGCTCCGCCCCGCCCCACGCCGTCCGCGCCGCCCCGCCGCTCCCTTCGCCCTGGCACGGCGGAGGCTCTTGCGCTGCCGCTTCCCGCCACGCCCGGCCCGTCCCCGCCCAGACGCTCAGCGGCGCCGGTGGGGTAACCGTTTGGTCTCCCCAACAACCGCCTCTCCAGCCAATTTCTCTTCACTGCGAAAGTCAAGTTCCGAAGAGTTCCAATCCCTATCGAACACGTGCTGCGCAAACTTGTTTCTATGAGCTCTGTTGAAAAAATTCGTGAATTCATTCAATTAAGAAACAATGCTTTCTCTAAGAATCGTTTATGAACGGCCTGCGGGTTAAATTTTAAATACCATTTTATTATTGCCCTAAAGAAGATTTTTAATACATATTCCTAGTGCAAAATAGATTCGACAGCACCGCTTCGTTTACCAAACGAACGTACAACTGGGTTGTGCCTATATTACTAAATAAATAAACCCGTAGAATGTTCCTTGTAGCCTCGGGATTTTTCGCTTCAATTTTTTTCTCAACTTACTACGTACATACATAGTAAAGGAAATGTACTCCTATTATATTACGGGGAAAGAAATCAGCGATGTTTCGATAAAAAACATATTGTGGGGCTCTGACATCGACAAAAATGTATTTATCTTCTTAATATGTTGCAAATTACTTCCTCTAACACGTTGTGCAGACAGAATCCATGTTTTGTGTGTTCTAGATTCCGAAAACTCGATTGGCAGCAAAAGATTCGTCCGTCAGTTATCAACGCTAGCACCTCAACCATTCAGACGATTTTTTCCAAAATTCATATTCCCTGACTGATCTCGACGAACTTGGGGTCCTGCGAGTTGAAATGAATATTTTGATTTTGGAGGGATACTGTACTTGAAATCCTAAACATATTTTCTATATTTTCTCAAAAAAACGTTCACGCCCGAGATCCGAAATGATTTGTAAGGATTTTTTTTCATTTGCAGACGGTGGGGTCATTAAAAAGTCTCAATGATTTAAACACATTCCGCATTTTATTCATCTTCACTCTTGCCCAAATACGTCGATGGTCTTTATTACCTATTAAAAACACCTTTTGATGGTAAGAAGTTAAGCTGAGATGGCTCATTGTCAACAATCGTTCCCGCTTCAGTGACTCTGTTAGAGAGGGGTTCTAGTCCCCAACGTGGCTGAATTTCGACACTTAAAGGTAGATCGAATTCAGCCGCGGTCTGGGGGAGAATTCTAGCTAGCGGCTGCACTGATCGGTAGTTTCTGTAGTTTCTCCTATCATTAAGAGACGAATGCCGGAGCAGTACCCTAACAAACAGGCCACGGACCGCGGAAATGGCAGGAGGCCAGTCAAGAGTTTAAAGCTTGTCACGGCTGTGACGGTGTTCTGAAGGAGAAAACTCCGCAAGCTGACGTGTGAGTCGGGGCCGGATTTCACATTCTAGCGGGGGATGATCACCGCCACCTCTCAGGCTGTGACATGCAATATACTCGCGGGACTTGTGACGAAAGTAATTGACGCGCCCGGAAACACTAAATACTTACTTGGTGACTGAAAAAAGTAAATGTTTTCCCGGTACTCCTTTGTAACGTTCTGAGGACATGAGTTACAGTGCTTTACTAAAATACTGTTTAAACACATTTGTATATTCGTGTGCGTTTGTGGAGGTTATTTTGCGTTATATCTCGTGCACGAACTCTAATAAAATATATTTCCTGTTGGATATGCTAGTTTTTGTTTTATGACTCCACAATAAGCGCCTTTAAATGCCAAGACGGCTATTAGTGTTGCAAATGAAGATGAATCACCGGCGTACAATGCAGCCTCGTGCATAATTTGGAGATGGAGGTACTCGTTGCGGAGACGTAGTGTGCCCGGCTCGGGCCGATGCGAGGCGGAAGAGACGTCGAGCGACAAAGAAGTCAAACGGCAGTCAACGGTCAAGGCAAACGAACCATGGAGGAATATGAATGAACTGCCATCTGTAATAGTCTTTAATGCAATGGAACTACCTCTTCCTATAGCTGTTTTAGTTAAAGTTCGTGTTCAGAGATGACAGTAATCTACAAGAACATTACATGTATGCGAAATTCATTAATTTAACTGTTAGCTAATCAATCGTAAACTATTTTGCGGCAATAAATTAAATTTGGTATTTATTACTAGTGCTGTAGTAAACGTTAAGGTTCTTCTGTGCAGTACTTCGCATCTTCATTTAGCTCTTTACTGCCCTTTTTAAGTTATTCTCCTGTTAGAAATAGTTCTGGACATTAATGTATGTTTAAAAAAAATAGTTTTTACAGCACATTCCCGTATGCGTTCAGGGGTGTGGTTCCGAGGAGTCCGGTTACGAGGGGATCTAACTGTATGCGAATAACTCTCTGCTCTCAGACCACCCTTTCGCCCCATCGAAGTGTACACGCACTGAAGCATGGTGTAACAGGAGCGGCAGCGAGCGGTGTTGCCTGCGAACCGGATTGACTGACGGATTTCGAGTACAATTGCTTCTACGCAGCCTGCTCACAACGGCAGCGAGCTACTACTCGTAAAATTAGTTGCCCCGGCCGTGGAGAAAAGCATCTTAAATTACTTCGTGGGTGAAGTTTTCAAATTAAGGAACGGATTTATGCCAGAGACCTTTTTCTTCTTTGATAGTGTTTACGAAATTCCTTTATCAAGTTGGCCAAAATTTCACATTTGAATTATTCTACCTGATTGTGTTGCTGAAACAGACTCGTGGAGGCCTGCGAATTTGCGTTTGTTTGCAAAGCGATCTTCCGTTAAGGCGGTGGCTGTGTAAGGCCACAACTTGGGGGGGGGGGTCGGCTGTTGCCCAAAATTGACATTACACGACTCGACCATTTTCAATTCTTTTACATACAAAACACAATATTGTGACTGCATTTTTTTATTCAAATAGCAACATGGTTTTTTTGTGTTCACTGCTTTATATTGTGTCGATCCTGTAATGATTCAGTAACATTTTCAAACACTGTCTGCTGTTTTAAAATATAGAAGATATATTTGTTATATCGTGCTTATAAAAAAATCTTGAAAGATCTCTAAAAAACGTCTAATATTCTTCAACACTGTAGAAAACTATGTAGCATCATGGAATTTTCGGTTTGAAATTTTTTCAAGGAATTCTCCCATACGATCCCCTAGATGGCCTTGATACGTAACTATGTAGGGGCGTCTGGAACTCCGCCGTCTACAGAGGTGATAAGCTGTTGGGAAACGTGTGAAGTTTGCCGAGACGCCACGCCGCGAAGTGGCCATCCCCGTTTTGGCCCCGCATCCTTGGTGCAGTTGCTGCGCTCCTTAATCCTCTGCTCGCGGGAGGCGGGCGCTGGGAGCTGCTTGGTCTGTTGCAGCCGTGGTCGCGAGCCCTGGAAGCTGTCTTGGCCACGTGGTGTGCGATAAAGAAGGCAACATTTTCGGAACTCCGATTTATCAATATTTTTTTAATTGAAAGTATGCAATACAATATGGGACGTTCTGATGTAAAAAAAATGTGACTGACATTTCGCCTTTCCTGAGAAAATGCAATACTCACAGACAACTAACTGAACGTATAATGTAAGAGAAAGCAATAGTTGTTATGTATTGTCTGTTCTTGGAATATATAGAGAGCTAGCTACTCCGTATTCCTTCATAAAAGACTATATTTATTCCTCTCAAAATGTGGCCGTGTGATTAATATTTGCCCGAGAGTGCCTCACAGATTCTAAACGTATTGAATAGAGTAGTATATCGAACAATATATCGGCATTGGAATAGACCTATTTTTTGACGATAGTTTGACACAAAAAAGAAAGATGATTTGGGCAGTAAACTTGAGAAAGCTTATGCTTCCACGAGCCTTTCTCTAAGCCGACGACTCCAGATTCAAGAACTCGTTTAAGTCAAGAATATAGAAAAAATATTTGAGTTTTAAGAAAGTTTATCTTAATTGTTTTCTAACTTGGAATAGAATTTATTGACTTCCTCTTAAGCACAGCTATTTTTTTGCTAAATTGTACAATATCAAAACAATTTCGATTTTTGTAGATTGAAAGAAAAATAGAGGCATTTAGTGAAATATCCGGTATTGTGACGTAGTCACCAAGATCGCGATGTCAAGAATTTTATATCTCGAGCTTATATCTAATGCTCCGGTAGCCAACTCCTTTCAATTTCCTACAGGAGTAGTGCAATTAGGAGCATATGTTCTTGATTTATCAATGAACCAAAGACTGGTAAATATACTAAAAATATTAGACAGTTACTTTCACTCTAAAAAGTTTTAAAACGTGAATCCTGCAATTTGTTTTGACTGTAACAGGCCCGCAAAAATTCAAAAATACGAATTCAAACTTACTGACACTTCGTGACGTAATGAAACCTGCAAACTTGTTATGTTAATTTGTATTGTAGCATATTGTTGCAAAGGAAGTGAAACATGGTAATAATTTGATCATTACTACTCAATGTAAAATGAATTTTTAATCATCAATTTTCATTTGATGGGAGAAAAAAGAACTTTGGTGCCCGAATAAAACCCAACAACAATGCAATTTCATGTTTTTTCACTGCATGTAAAATGTTAATAGAGGTGACCCAAACCTGTTACAAAAACGTCAAAGCTAGTATTTTCAGTGTGTTACTCAAATTCTTCGGCACTTCAATTTCGCGTACTGCTTGCGCGGGATCACAAATTGCCGAATTGCTTGCATCAAGCCGCCTGCCCCCCTCGCCGGCCATCCTTCTATGTTCTTCCCTCGCGTCCTTGGACACCATTTCCTGGCCATGTGTGTTTCTTTGTCAGAACATCACCTGACCATTTCGCGGAACCGAATTCGACGCCGGACTAGGAACCAGACGAAACTGATGTGATGCAAACTTCTTAATATTATTCATGTGACGTGCTTGGAAACCTTGGGGTACCGGGGGCACAGGGCGCCAAGAAAGTCTCTCCGCAGCGAGCCAAATCAGGGGCTTCTATTAAAAATTGCACTTACGTTCCTAGCAACCAGATCACTGAGAAACAACTGAAGGGGACACCATTTCCAACGTGGCATGATTGCGGCGAGTGCGCAATTTAGATTTTCATTTGTTACAAGCTGCAGTTCGTGCTACAAACATAATTTCTGTTGCTAGCAATTTTGCCAGGCACTAGTGCCACTGCGGAGAAATTTTACAGGCGCCTATACTATACCATATCGTTTCATTATCATGGATTCATTTTTTAAATGGGATAATGTAAAATCTGCTACAAAACGTACAAAATCGACTTATTATTGATATTACCTATTCTTTATTTTCTCGCCTTTACTTCGTAGGAAGATAAAGTATTGTAATTGCACGCCGTAAAATGGCTTGTATTTGACAGAAAAACTCTTTATTTCCGGGCCCTAGTAACGAAAAAATTGATAAATCTTATTCGTATATATAAAATAAATTATTTCATTTAACAGTGAAGGGGACAACATTGTTGTAGTGTTTGTAGGGACAACAGTGTGTGTAGTCCGAATTCATGTTTTGTGGGTCCATGATACCGAAACGTCGATTGACGGCAAAAAGTATGTTTTGTGTCCGCCGTCCGTCCGTCCGTCCGTCCGTCCGTCCGTCCGTCCGTCTGTCCGTCCGTCTGTCCGTCTGTCCGTCTGTCCGTCCGTCTGTCCGTCCGTACGTCCGTCTGTCCGTCCGTCTGTCCGTCCGTCTGTCCGTCCGTCTGTCTGTCTGTCCGTCCGTCTGTAGGTCTGTCCGTCTGTAGGTCCGTCCGTCTGTAGGTCCGTCCGTCCGTCCGACCGTCTGTCTGTGGTCAATGCTAGCGCTGATTTTCTCCAAAATTGATATACCTCGATCAGTTTAAAGAAACTCGAGGTCCTCTGAATTTGAAACTGATATTTTAATTTTTAAGGGTACGTTACAGAAAGCTTCAACATTTTCAAACTTTTCTCAAAAATAGGTCCCAATTTTTTGATTAATATGGGACTTTGCATTACCTTAAATGACGCTCACGAGACTAGTGCATGTATCATTTTCGTTGAAATGCCTAATCGAAAATTGCAAAAGATAAAATTTTTGGTTACTTCAACTACAATATCGAATATGAAATAAGACCAAGAACAAATGTTGAAAATAAGAGTAGTTTTCGTGGTTGTGTGAAAAAATTAGCAATTTTCAAAATGTTTAAACAACTTTTTTTTAACTAGGCTCGAAATTTTTCTTTACATTTTCGCCTCGTACGTACTCGTAGTCATTAAAAAATGGTGCTAGTCTCATTTCCGACGAACTCTGAATGTTCGAAAATTACATAAAATTTAAAATGTCAAAATTGAAGATAAGATATATTGTTCTTTGCACAAAATCTGCTCTAAAAATAATATATTTTGAAAAGGTCACCTAAAATATTTTTGAAAAAAATCTAGTAATATTCGCGTAAGGTGTACTTGGAATTAATGCAATTATAAAAAAAATCTCGAAAATCTCTCCATATTTTTTACTTTCAAGTTTTCCCCCCGGATAGAACAAAGAATGCATTAAAAATGGCGCAGTTCTTATTTTGTTGAATTCTGAATTTTCGAAAATTGCAAATGTAGAAATAATGCGAGAAAGTATGTGTTGTTGAAGTTCCACTAGTTTTCTTTTTAGTTATTTCCCTAAACCCGAATTAAATTCCTAAGTAACAGAACTCTAACCTAACTTTTGTGTTTCTTGAAAACGAGAAACTCGGACCATTACTGTATGTATATAAAATCAGAAAGTTTATTTTATTATCCTACATTTTCGTGCGTTGCCCGCGCAGATCTAACTGCACAGCTTCCTATGCCAGCTGAATTCGCATTCTATTTGTATGTGAAGCGAGGCTACATTGCAAAAATGAAACAGGAAAATTCAGAGATTGTTGTTCTTGTCGCTCTTTGAATAACTGTTGTTTTGCATAACAATACGTTATATTTATGTCATTTGAATGGATATTTACGGGATGAATTATACTCATATTTCCGTAATAACACTAGTGATGCTTTTCTTCACTGAAGCCGTTAAGATAAAAAGAAATCTCCACACATGTGTAGTGAATAGAGACTTTTTACGTTTTTTTGTTGGCAAAATGGAGACTCCCTCCTCCCCTCTCTTCCTCTTCGCCGAATCCCGCTCTGCGCTGTAAAACTTGGACGACTCATCTGAAGCAGCTCGGCTCCTAGCTTCTCGCGCTGTTTTCGCCGCTCGTCCGCGAAGAGGCGCGGAGGCAAGGTCACGCCCGCCCGCCGGGCGACCACGCCCGGACCGGTCGCCGCCACCGCCCGCCGCTCCTTGGCTCGTCTCGACCCGCGGGGGCGGGGCGGGGCTGGACAAGCTTCGGGTAGAGCCCATCGCAACCTGTCCGCCGCCGCCAACGGTAGAACGCATATACGTGGAAATCCCACTCGGTTCTGGCTTTGTATCTACCCATGGAAGAACATTCTGAATAATTTCGTTTATCTATGAGCATGGTGACAGAGTACACGCGAGAACAGTACCCTTTACGAAGAGCGCTCTTTTGTGCAAGGATCAGCTTCAAATTATTAAACACTGCAAAAATAATTTCATAATTT